TTGACTTTTCTTAGCCTAGTACTGGTTTTGCTTCATATTAAGTTTTACAATATGATATTTTCAGATTATGGCATTAATAGCATATTATATCAGCGTGGTTTATATCCTGGTGACACATTCAAGAGAGAGAAAAAATATGGACTAACACTACTGGTTACAAACGACTCGAAATTGCAACAGTTTCTGGAACCTCTTCTGAAGCAAGTGGAATGTTAGTATGGTTTCTATACTTTTCTTATCACAGGGAGGCTTAGTAGCAAGTGGCCACCATGCTACATGCGCGGTCCGGGTTTTATCTCGTATATAATCCAGATCCAGATAAATCGAACCTTCCACTCGTACAAGACCATTTAATTTGTACCATACTATGTTGTAAGAAATAAAACGCTGAAGACTCGGGTGGTCCCTTTGAGTCATTGTATGGGTCCAATTGCACTTGCGTACTATTACGACAATAGAGTTGCAGTGCATGGCGCATCCAAAGAATAATCAGTACTGTGCCTTATTCTTTTCATCTTACTACGGATATTGTTAGTTAAAACTGACCATCCCTCAAAGATCAAATCTTAAAGACAACAGTTCACTACTGAAGAGGAAGAGCATCGCTAATATCCATCTTCTTCTAACAGGGAAGGATGATGGGTCGAAGTGGCCATATGCAATGAGACCTACACCGCTGGATGTGTTTTTGGACGCTGATCTCGAATCTGCTTTCCAAATCTGCCAAACGATTTTCTGAACGGAGTTATGAAGCAAAATAGAGCAGCGGTAGTGGTCCGGGCTCACGGGCGAGAGGTCGTAGGATCGATTCCCTGACGGTGATTTGCTACAAATTTGTCCCTGGGTATTTTTATCTAAGAACACGAATATCACACTTGCCTGCTGCAAAAACGTCTGCCAAGAGTTCTGTGGGCTCCATGTGCAGTCTTTAGTAAGTACCGCCCAAACTTGTTAGAAACTCCTCGCAAAGTCTTTGCACGGGTAACTACAGGCAAGCGTTGATCGAGTAACAGTTGGGAGCCTTTTTCAATCATTTTGCAGCGAAGGCAAAAAAGAGAACCCGCCAGGGAATCGATCCTACGACGTCTCGCACGTGAACCCGGACTACTACCGCTGCACTACTTTCCTTCATAACTCCATTCGGAAAATCGTTTGGCAGATTTGGAAAGCAGATTCGAGATCAGCGTCCAAAAACGCATCCACGGTGTAGGTCTCCTGCATATGGCCACTTCGACCCATCTTTCTTTCCTGGTTAGACGCTTTTCACGTCGGTTACTGCATGGGAACTGAGATAGTTAATCTATCCATAAATAGAGAGACTGTCCATTTCTAGGCAGGCCTTGAGTGTACCAAGACTGTATTGCATTTTAGCGTTCTTGCTGATCACTATTTCATTTACTAATAGATAAAAAGATGACGTTGTTGGAGTTGAGCAGTCAAGATAACCAACAAAGTTCATAAATGTTTTGCAGTTTGGTTAAGCAAACGAAAGTTGAAACGCCTGGTTTTGGTCATTTCGGAAATCAAAACTAAAGAAGTAATGGAAAGGTGGCAGTTTGACATTCAGACGGAGGAAATGAATGAAGAGGGGTGAGCAGTGTTTTTAGCCACATATTTGTCGCGCATTGTATGAGATTTTCTGACGATTTAATTATTGGAAGCTCCCAATGTATTTTGCCGTGCATTGCAGTGAAAATTCGACCAGGCAGAAGGATGAGAAGAAAATCAAGCAAGAAATGTCTGATGTTATTCGGTAAGTACAAAATAGCATGTACAGGGTGGGGCAAAATTATGAGGACAAAAACATGATACGTCGGTTTGCCACTCATACCACAAAGCAAAACAGATTAGGATTGATAAGAGCTGCCACCTGCTGCATTTACGCGAGCCTTCAGATGAAGAGAATGGCGTCTGCGGCGGCACGCAAGCAAAGCATGTCAAAATGGTTCCAGACTTTCTGCTTCCTTCTACAGAGGATCAAACCTCTTTGTGGCTTTCTTTTGCGTTTACATCCAGGGTTTCACCGTAAAGGAAATCTAGGCGAAATAGGTTGGCGATTTTTAGTTTCTACAAACGCTATGAACTCGAAAAGTCCTCTATTGCAGAATTTCTGCTATGGCTAGGTGCTCTAATTTTGGGGTACGATAGTCGAAAGTGGGAGGACGAGTTCCTGCATCTGATATTTGTCGTGGTGGTCACTTTAACCTTCAAATCGTCATCTTTATCATATTAAGTGATTCCGAACAAATTGAAGCGTCCAGTCGTTGTCCATGCGATCTTCCTTGTTACGTTGAACTGCTGCTAGATGTAGCGTGCCAGAACCCTAGTGAGTTCAATTTGAGGACTGACGTAAGTGAAGTAGTTATTTCACTAGTTTTGAGAACTTCATGAAATTTGGTTTCATTAGGAAGAAGACATTGTACCCTTCACATAGTGCACAGAAAAGGAGATGAAAATGGAGCGACTCGGAAAAAAGTGGATATGACCGCGCGCGCACGCGGTCCTCATAATTTTGGCCCACCCTGTATAGCGAATATCGTTGCCTCTTGATTGAGAGATATGGAAACACTCTCGCCCTATACTGAGCCTACCGATAGCCTAATGAAGGTACGGGAAATTTCTTGTGATTTTCTTTGTTACAGGCAAATAACGGCATCGGTTACATTCCTTCCGTTGCTGGAAGAACCGTGCTCTTTTGATGTCTTGATTTACACGGGAAAGGAGACTGAAGCACCCAGCGATTGGGTTGAGAGCAGTGCATGCCTCATAAAGAATAGCGAACAGGTTGGTTTTATCGTACTTCTTAATTATCTTTTTAATGTAGGTGTGAGATACTGAATGGAAGCTTAGTGCCATTTACATGTTTTCACACACGTATGCGATCCTTGCGGCAATTTTTGTGGAATAGGCGTGGTTTTCCTCCGGAATCCTTTTAAACTCGCTCTCTCTCCGTAAAATAGATCAGTAATTTGGCGATGAGTTGTGTGAATGTTTTCTCCTTTCTATTCCGCCTGCTTCTCTTCACCCTTTTGCGATATTTTTTTTGAAATTAATTTTCACAATTGTCCCACTACTCTGGATCAAGTGGCCCAACTTTCTTGTCATCCGTAACCTAACAAGGTGCAAGCTTTGAAAAGGAAAGACGATCAGTGATGAGCTTGGACAGGATGAATTTGATGATGGGTCGGGTTGCTGTCTAAAGCAACAACCTCAGATCCAACTGATGGGGAAGAGGGGTAAATAATGAAACTCTGGATGTCGAGTTGACTGGAAATGTCCCAAAGGTGTCAGTATTAAGCTAGGACGTCACCCGGAAGTGGCGCGCAGAACCCCCGCCCGAGTTCTGTGGTCAGTATGCGAGGGCTACCGAGGAGTGAACGGCCTCGGCCAAAGAAGCTAGTTCGAATTGGGACTCTGAACGTAGGATCGCTAACTGGGAAGTCCCGAGAGGTTGCTGATCTGATGACGCGCAGGAATATCCAAGTCCTATGCCTTCAGGAGACGCGCTAAGGCCAGGGAAATCGGGGAAGGTGTCAAACTCTACTACAATGGAGAAGACACCAAGCGGAACGGCGTGGCCATAGCGGTAGCGGAGTCGCTCAAGGACTATGTCTCCGCTGTGAACAGGATCAGCGATCGGATCATGGCTGTGAGGATAGACACGAAGAGGGGGGTACTGGACCATACTGACCGTACTCGGGTACTGGACCATACTCCGTGTACGCACCGCAAGCCGGATGCCCCGAAAGTGATAAGGACGAGTTCTATCTAAGCCTTGACGATGCCATCAGATCGATTCCGGAAGGCGATTACCTGACCATAGCAGGTGATCTGAATGGTCACGTCGGCAGTGACAGAAGAGGCCTGGAAAGGGTGCACGGAGGTAGAGGGATAGGAGTGAGGAACGCCGAGGGAGAGAGGGTCCTGGACCTGGCTACAGCCCACGATCTGGCAATCTGCAGCACGTTCTTCGCGAAAAGGGAGACTCAGAAGGTAACCTACAGCAGTGGAGGGAGACAGACGGAAATCGACCATGTGCTGGTAAGAAGATCATCCCTCAAAACTGTGAAGGATATCAAGGTACTCCCTGGCGAAGAACTGGCTCCCCAGCACAGGCCCCTCCTGGCAGACATGCCATAGACCTCCCCAAGAAGACAAGGGTAAGAACCGAGAGGAGAATCCGGTGGTGGAAGTTGCACCAAGCGAAGGTAAGTGGAAGTTGGTCTCCCAGATCCTGAAGGGACCAGTGCAGCAGACTTGGGGCAATGCAGCTGAGATCATCCTACGATGCGCCAAGGAGGTACTGGGCGAGACGCGAGGTGGATTCAGAGGAGACAAGGCAGCGTGGTTCTGGAACGAGGAGGTCCAGCGAGTCGTGAAGCAGAAGAAGAAGCATACAAGCGCTGGCAGAAGACCCGGAGCCCGAGGACCTCGCTGCCTACAAGAGTTGCAAGAGGCTCGCTAAGGCTGCCGTCGCCAAGGCGAAGAACACGGAGATGGACGCCTTGTACGAGAAGTTGGAAAGCAGAAACGCAGAGAAGTTCGTCTTCAGACTGGCTAAAGCCCGGCATCGGGCTACCATCAGGGTGGTGAAGAGTGTGAAGAGCAGCAACGGCGCCATCCTGAGGAAGCCAGCCGAAGTCCGGAGGAGGTGGGAAGAGTACTTCAGAGGGCTTCTGAACGAGGAGTTCCCCACAAGAACAACTCACGGGCAGAGCTGGTCCCATCGCACTCTGGACTGAGGATGAGGTTAGGTGTGCACTTGGGAGGATGAAGGTTGGAAAGGCGGTTGGTCCAGATGGGGTGCCAATCGAGGCATGGAAGGCGCTCGGAGAGTACGGGATAAGGTGGCTCACCCGCTTCCTGAACACGGTAACTGCCGAAGGAAGGATGCCGGATGCCTGGAGAACAAGTACTATCGTCCCCATCTTCAAGCAGAAGGGTGACGCGATGGACTGCTCCAACTACCGCGGATCAAGTTGACTGCGCATACCATGAAGTTGTACGAGCGACTGGTCGACTCGAAACTGCGGGAGCTGGTCCCGATCTCCCAGGAACAGTTCGGGTTCATGCCCGAAAGGTCTACAACGGATGCCATCTTCATCGCAAGGCAAGTGATGGAGAAGTATCGAGAAAAGCGCCGACCCTGCTACCTAGCCTTCCTCGACCTGGAAGGCGTTCGACCGCTACCGCGAGCAGTACTATGGAGATCGCTCAGGGAACGGAACGTGCCAGAACACCTGATCTCTCTGGTGAAGGACATGTACGATGGGGCAAGGCAGCTAACACTAGATGTCATGGTGAAGGGGCTCATGGAAGGACCACTGAAGACCATCCTCTACGCTGACGACATCGCCCTGATAGCGGATAGCAGAAGGAACAGAAGGTGGGCTCCGGCTGAATGTCAAGAAGACCAAGTTCCTGAGCTCCGAAGAGGGTGCAGAGCCGATCGTGGACGGCCATGGTGAGACCATCGAAAGAGTGGAGGACTTCCGATACCTTGGGAGCGATCTGGCAGCCGACGGTAGTGTGGATCAGGCAGTGAAGGCTCGGGTCAACGCTGCATGGATGAAATGGAGGGAGTCCACTGGAATCCTCTGCGATCGAAGGTGCTCCAGAGCGCTCAAAGGGAAGGGAACAAATAAAGGAAAAAAATAAACAATAAGACAAACAATCAATTTTCTTCTCATTTATGGTCACGATTACGTTATTTTATCGGTAGAGATTCTTATTGTCTATTTTTTGCTTTCTCTCCCTTAAACTTTTTTGGAGGTCTTGCACTATTTTGATTGCCATCAAAGTTATTCATTAGTTCAGTTTTTCGGCTTCACTACAAGAGGAATTCATAATGTGCTCTCATTGTTACAGGTACAACTACGATCCTTCTCCACGGCGGTGCACAGCGTGAACACAAATGTACAGTACAAGGCTGATTTTTGAGTCCGTTCCTGTGTCAACTTTCGCTCTTCCATAAGTTTTATTTGGGAAAATTAATTGGTTGCATTGTGTCATCCCTAACATAACACCTTATTGAATCTCCAGCTGTATGATATTTTATACAACGTCCTGTAAAAATTATTTTAACTGCAGTTCCAATATTCATTTCATATGCCCATTTTGTTGTATTCACATAGTTGCCTATTCGGTACAGTATTTAATGAAGTATACTGTAGCTGACTTATCGATTTCTGTTGTATAAGAGATCTGAATGGATCGATTACCAAGGGGGGTCGTCGGTGCCTCTGATCCGCGGCCATTACCACACTTGTGTTGTTCGTTGCGTAAGATGCTGAGAATTATCCCTGTGGCTGAGAGCCCCGCGACAAAGGACCCTTAGCCTGTTTTGAATTTGTTCAATGGTACACCCATGAGAAGTAATACGGTGGTTGTGGGCATCTAGCTATGGTTAGGCTTTTCTGATACGCGCTGGCAACAGATGTGATGGCTTTGGACAGGCCATTTGGTTGACCGTTTCCGATAATCTCTCCCAGCCGTATATCATTCTGATGAGACGGCTTCGGCGCTATGTAGGGTTGGTCTTTTCCGCGTTTGACTGCGAGATTCTGTTTAGAAAATAATATTGGAAGGAAAGTCGTAGTTGGAAGAGCGTGGGAGAATTATGAGTACGGTAGCGGTAATTGAACGGGGTACAAGAAGCGCTGAATTGAATTACGGTTGCTTTTTGTGCCCGGCGTTGTCATGTACAGATGGCCAAATAGCTCTAATTGTGGGTGTCATTTCTGAGCGTCTTCTCATCCTCCCAATCATCCCAATTACATGACACCGTATTCAGTTAAGAGCTGGTAGAGTCACTTCGAACTCTGGAGGTCGAGATCCCGATAGTTTGCGATGTGTGTAATTGGTTGTGTGCAATGGAGATGTAATTAGAGGTTACGAGAGGTTGTGGTCGGTCAACTTGGCTTTTGTTCTGGCAATCTATGTAATGTTTGAAAGTTGTGGTGTCAAATTAGGCTCATT